CTCTCTCTCTCTCTCTCTCTCTCTCTCTCTCTCTCTCTCTCTCTCTCTCTCTCTCTCTCTCTCTCTCTCTCTCTCTCTCTCTCTGTGTCTCTGTCATGTCTTGTGTTGTTTCTTCTTCTGTTGCCTTTGACAAGGGTTTTGGTTTCTCTTCTTCCTGTATTGTTTTATTCGAGTCTGTCGCATGCGTGACCCACCATAGACATGTGCCCGTTTTCTTTGTTTCCTGTCTTCTGTTTTTCTTCACAAGGCTTTTCATTTCTCTTCTTCATGTATTGCTCTCTCTCCCCTCTCCCCTCCCCCCCCTCTTCCTTGGCCATCTTTCGACCTTTCACTGTGTTTCATTCGTCGTCATCTATTAGTGCGTCAACTTATCAAGGCCATGATAAAGCAGACACGTCTCTCGCACACATTCGCACAACTCATCTCCATCACAACTGTGTTCGGCGCCTATGAAGGGGCCTTTCGTTTGAGAGCTAAGAAAGCTATATGTTGTATGGATTTTGTAATTTTTCTTGGTTTTGCACATTTGAGCCGTGGACTTGGAGATCTTCTACCCCCCCCTTTTCTTTCTCCCAAATTTCAAATACAAAATTCTGATGCAGGTGCTGCAACCTTTGCCATCCAGGGGGACAAGTTGAAGAGTGACCTCGATTCCCTTCATGGACAAGCTGCGATGCTGTCGGCTTTGCTGACAGCGGCTCCACGACTCCCTCTTGGCGTTCCTTCCAGGTGAGCAATTTTCTGCAGTGGCTCCCTCCAAGTTGAATCTTTCATGGTGTCACTGAAACTTCTGCTGTGCCGATTCGTTTCTCCCATGTTTAGTTGCTGGTTCGTTTTTGGAGAAAAGGCTAACTGAATCCCTTCCCACCTTCCCCCCCCGCCCCCCCCCCCTGCACCTTACACACATGCTGATTTCGGTGTTTTTTAATGGAATGCGTATATCACTGTCCTTTTTTTGTTTCCCAAGGTTCCTCGTTGAAAAATAAAAAACTTTTTTTTTTTTTTTGAAATCAGACATCTTGGGAACTAGGGGGACGGATGTCATTGCCTATTCTGTTGCTGCTCTGTGCGGGTGAATGAGCTGAAGAAATCAGCCATCTTTAAGAAGTGGGGAAATGACCGTCGAAAAATAGGGGATTGCCACGTGAGTTTTCTTTTTTTCTTTTTCTTTGACAGGGCTGGAATCCAAGCCTCTTGGTCAACAGTTCGATTGTGCTCACTGAATAGAGCGCATGACCATTATAGCTGTATCTGTGGCAATTTCAGTGTAGAGACAGTGGTAATGAGGGTGCGTACCATTTGGGAGAGAATACGGTAGGCAAATTGTGCTCAGCCACCAGCCAGGTAGCATGAGGTATTCTCTGATTCGTTGTGCGATTTGAACTCTTGCCTGTTCTCCTTAACAGGTTGCCGACAGCAATTTTGGATGTCGCAAGGCAAATGGTATTGCAGCCAGACACAAAGAAGGCCCAGGCCACTGCGGTCGAAAAGGAAGCTGGTTGGATGCTTGTAGGGGCACTGGTGTCGTCTATGGCGAAAGAGGTATCGTCGGGGAAGCTGTGGAGTTCGATTTTCCCTCCACCTGGATGAACTTACTCTGTCCAAAGGAAAAATTGCTCACGGACATCCCCACCCTCTCTGTCCTGCTCCCACCTGAGATTGTTCTTGTCCTACTTTATCTCCCATGGTATCGGAGATTGAGTTGGGTGCATTCCTAGGCTACCAGAGTGGCCTGGGACCCCACTTGCTCGGCCAGGCCCAAAAAAATAAAAAACAAAATGGTTTTTTTCTGTTGTGAATGTGGTAAAGAGCATACTTGCGGCGCATTTGTGTGCTGCGCCATGCGCACATGGCTGGTGCGCACGCACCGCGCGCATGGCGCATCGGTGCGCTATATGCACATGCGCTATGCGCATGCGCGCGCTACCCATGCGCCGTGCGTGCACCTGCGGGCCTTGCACTAGGGTGGTGCGCCAGATGCACTGCCTTTTTTTTTCTTTTTTGGGGGGCGGTGCTTCCACCACCCGTTTGAAATTCGACTCATCGGAAAGGTCCCCTCTCTCTCTCTCTCTCTCTCTCTCTCTCTCTCTCTCTCTCTCTCTCTTAGAAATTTCAACAAACAAAAATGGTGGTCATCCCTCCCTCCTTGTCATCTCTCTCTCTTAATGTCGTCAATGAGGTGCTTCGGCAGAGCGGCCGCCGCTGTCACCTCCAACAGAAAATGGTGGTCAGCCCTTCAAAGGAAAACCCTCTCCCCTTGTCCAGATCCACCACTCCCTCCTCTAATCCCCCTCGGCTATGCAACACTCCAGCGGGTATTTAAAAAAAAAAAAAAAAAAAAAAAAAA